GATTAATTTCACAACAAATTTACTTTCTGGATTAAAATAACAATGGATAACAAAAGATAGATTAACATTGTAAACAACATAAACAATAGTGTCCCATGATTCTTTGGTGCAATCCATGGGATTGAGCGCTTCCCCTTTAAGCATGTTTATCTCGCATCAGGCAGGGATGTTGCAAGTTTAACCCCCCATTGTCACCTACACGTAGCAGTGGTTGTCCAGAACACCAACCACTGAATTAGTAGAGAGTATATGAAACTAGTAGGCAATCTGACAAGGTCGTTAGGACGATGACAAATTGTTCTGTCTGTAGCTCATTAGCCGATTTCTTACAAGCCGTGTAAGTCTATGAAACAAACTGAGCTTGATGCAATCCCTGCTTGCACACATGTGATGAAGAAATCTAAAATGATTGAAGGACAATGCGACCAGATATGTTCGAAATTGGTCCCAAGTAACGAACACAAGAAAATTATATAGTTTGTTTACGCAAAATGTTAACGCACACTGTGCGAAGTCTACCATAGTTTTAATAGTTTGCAATTTCCTTCCGAAGATTGGAACAAAAATAGCCAAATTTTTTTGAGTAAAAACTGAAAATTGACACAAATTTTGTCTCTTGTCTACAAAATTTAGGTTCATTGTCAGGAAAATTGAAGATTATAAGAAACAAGTACAGAAAAATTTAGGCAAGAAAGTCTGGTAGGGTAAAGTTTAAACCGACACCAAGTCATGATTGATATGGGTAGCAATGGATTCGACACAGTATAAAGATACTACACGACTATTGCACGTTGATGGTTTTGAACAATTTAACAGCCATGAGTAGTGTGTACTGTCAATAAATCATGTATGCAAAATAGATTATTAGCAACATTTACTTTTTAGAGAGAGATTGTACGAGCATTGTTGAGAAGCGAGTCCAGGCTTTTTGCTTACTGCGAGATCCCTCATTGCGTCGTAGCAATGTCAAAACACTGCATGGGATTCAACCAACACAGAAATATTTTAGGGACATTTTCAGGTTTCATTTTCACATTTGATGATGGTCAATTTTGATGAAGCAGGGGTATCATATCGCCATGCCTCAATCTGAAAGATCAGTATTTCAACATTCAACGATGAAAAAGAAAGCTACATGTAAGCTCAAAATCAAATCATTAGATTTTTGCGGCTGTTGTTCGATTCACGATCTTCACACATAACTCCTTATCTCATAGAAGTACTGAAAATTACATATCCTTGGGGGCGGAGCTACGTCACAAGACAATCTACGTTGCTAAGACGCGCACCACTGTACCACGTATTTCTATGGGCTCTGTGCGCGCTGCTGTGGAACGCCGGTCGAGCCGGTGAAAATTCGAGAAAACAACACAAACTCAACTTTGAAGTAATCCCGAACAACCGAATTTATATATGGTACACACGCAGGGCTAATTTTGTTACACTGTTCAGGGGGGGGGGTCTCACCAACCGTCCCAAAGTACCGTTTTCTGCGAGTTTTTGGCCTTTTTTCACCGCGATGGTTGCCAGGCAGTGAAAATGCCCGGATGTCCGCCCGAGGATTATTCATTACCAGTGTTACAATCCAGGATACAAAAAGCAGACCTCACTTTCAAAGGTAAGTGATCACTCAACAGCCGATTATTAAATCTCCCAATCCATAGAATTTTGAAGACATTTTAATAGCACAGTTCCTCTAATCACTCATATTATTGTGCATGTCACCATCGGCAGCAATCAGTCAAAGGGCAAAGCCTGACACTGACACAGAATCTAATTTTACCATTCCGCTACTCTGACACCACCAAGATTAACGACCTGGCCAACACAGTGGTTTATTTTAATGTGATGTGCTTTAATGAATGTTAATTATTACAATTTTCGTACTCTGCTCGACCATGCTATCAATAGCAATACTCAGTTGAGATTTAGAGAACAAAAATAAGGCAAACCTAACAACCTGGGCGCTAGAGAAACACCAACATGCAACTAAGATCCAAAAAAGTGACCTAATGTAGAATAATTAATTTTCAAGGGGTCTACGTGAATCAATGAAATTAAAATTTTCATATGTAATTTGTGTTACTAAAAATTACAAACTAGTGTAACCTCAACTTGTGGTTTTAAGTAAAAATATATACCAACTGAAGTAAAGTAATCAACAGTATATTTGTTATGATGTATGTGGGTTAACCAATCAGTGACTCAATGGGCGCAGCTTAATCCACTTCCTTATTCATATGCTGGTACCACTTTGTTATGTCTGGGTAGGGGGTGTAATTTGAGTGCTATCGAAAATGGAGATGACAACATAGGATATAAAAATGAACAAGAGTACTGTATTTCTTCTATTTACGAAGGTAGGGCTATGCCACAGAACATTCTGTTTTATGGACGTGTACCACTGTATTTCTATGAGTTATGCATGAGGTGTTTTGGAACCCCGATTGTGGAGCCGATTAAAACAGCTAAAGTCAAAAATAACAGCAAAAAATCTTCTTTGTGGTAATCCTGAGCAACCAAATTTATATATGTTGCACACGTAGTGGTAGTCTTGTTATACTTTTCCGGAGTTTCAACAACTGGTCCAAATTACTATTTCCTGGGTGTTTTCAACTTTTGTTTTTATTGGGGATGTTTGCAAGGCAGTGGAAATGCTTCGATGTCTGAGAAATAGCATATATCTTACAGCTTT